TGGGCCAGCAAGGAACAGCGTGGAGAAAGGGACAGCTACCTACTGGCTGTGTCTACATTGGCACCCCTTCCCGGAAAAGGGATGCTAATGTAGCACTTTGGAATAGGCAAATCCGCGGGGGATTTAAATATCCCCCGCGGTATTTGCATTAACATGGCTGCCGCTTTTTTCCAGCTTGGAGATAAGCCGGAGAAAAGCGCCAGTCTAGACGTGATTTTCCGGAAAATAAAGCCTTTTCTGGAGGATCTCTTATTCCTACTTTCAAGGAATAAGAATAAGAGGAATAAGAGATCCTCCGGAAAAGGCTTTATTTTCCGGAGAATCACGTCTAGACTGGCGCTTTTCTCTGGCTTATCTCCAAGCCGGAAAAAAGCGGCAGCCATGTTAATGCAAATACCGCGGGGGATATTTAAATCCCCCGCGGATTTGCCTATTCCAAAGTGCTACATTAGCATCCCTTTTCCGAAAGGGAGGCCAGTGTAGACACAGCCCTGATGTATATGAGGGAGTTTTTCTGTTCGTGTGACATTCAACCCTCCCCGAGCTGTTCCTGCTGCAGCGGCCATAGACAGGTACTTCTCACCAGACCCCGAAGGGCTGGGATCTTCCTCTCTCCCCAAGGCAGCCTCCACACTAAACCCCTCATCACCAGCCCTGCCCCGAAACAAGGATTCAAATTAAGAAAAACAAAACAGATCTGAGTTAAGGACACAAGCAACACATTTACATTTACATGTACACACAGGTACATTTTCTAGTCAATAATAAAATAATACTAACTGCTGGTAAAAAAAATACCAATGGCCAAAAGGAATTTCGTTCTTTTCTTATGACTAAGCTATATTTCAGTACACAGTGCACAGGAAAGTATTTCCACCTACGAAATCCTTCTGTGCTGCTACAGCTTAAGAGGAAGTGAATTGATTTCGCACCAGTTTTGTGTTTAAGAAAAAAATGCCCCTGGGTTGACATCTCTTCTACTAGACTAGAAACTGAGACATAACTTCACGAAGCTTTACGAAGCCTTTGAAAGTAAATGTTTGTAAAGCAAAAGACTGACAAAAATTATCACTAAAATTTAACAATCAATCTAACAGCCAAAGAATAAAGCAGGTGATTAGCAAAAGAGCTCAGACTCCTGTATTTTGAAGAACGAGTGGGATATCCTTTGTGAACAGAGATGAATGAAATACACTGCTCTCCAGAGCCACAGCACAATTACATGAAGGCACAAACCTCATTGAACTGTGGTATTAATATCCACAACAACCAGCATTCCCTGTAAGCTGTGAGCTTGTGTGTCTGCTCAAGAGAGATTCAAGTGCTGCCCAGCTGATTAGTGGAATGCCCACAGCTTGGTTTTTTGTTTCCACTGGCAGGGCGCATTCACATATGCCTCAATGCACACAAAAATGTATTCCGCCCATAGATGGAAAGATTACAGGGATATTGACAGCAACTGCCACTTGCTTGGTTTTGTAAGTCTGCTACCCAGCCCTTATTCATGCCATTTCAAGTTAATTGCCAGTGGTAAATAACTTCATGGTTCATATTCATATTCTGATTGACTCTTTAGGCCAGGCACCTTCACTTGCTGGGCTGAATTTTGTGATGACCAATAGCCTGTGAAATCAGAATGGAGTCCACCCAGTTCTAACATGCATTCATTTTACCTGATTGGGTAGGGTCATCCTTACCCATACACACAACACACAGCTGCATGGGGTGCCCAAAAATCTGGGGTGCCACTGGGTCTTAATGTCCAACCACCTGCCTCTTCCTATCCCTGTTCTGTGGCTCTGTTTCCTCTGGAGAGGATCTGGTTAACTTAAAAGTGGAAAAGCCTGGAAGAGCTCTTAGCAGAACCCTGAATCTGTGGAAGAGCCATGCAAGTAGTATCTTAGAGTATGTCTAGACTACATACCTCTGCCGACAGAGGCATGTAAAATAGGCTTCCCGACATAGTTAATGAAGCGGGGATTTAAATATCCCCGGCTTCATTAAAATAAAAATGGCCTCCGTGCTGTGCCGGCTCTGCTGATTGTTGGCACAGCGCACGAGTCAAGACGTGGATTGGTCAACAGGGAATGCCTTTGTCGACTGCTCCCTTATGCCTCGTGAAGGGAACACTCTGGTGAGTGTGTAGCAGTAAAGTCTCCCAGGGTACGTCTAAACTACATGGCTCCATTGACGGAGCCATGTAGATTTGTTGTTTTGGCAAAGGCAAATGAAGCCGTGATTTAAATGATCGCGGCTTCATTTACATTTACATGGCTGCCGCGCTGAGCCGACAAACAGCTGATCAGCTGTTTGTCGGCTCAGCGCGGCAGCCATGTAAATGTAAATGAAGCCGCGATCATTTAAATCGCGGCTTCATTTGCTTTTGTCTATGTGTCTAATGTACATGCCTCTGACGACAGAGGCATGTAGTCTAGACACAGCCCCAGAGCTGCGTTTAAGCAAGACTTAATCCAGTCCCAACTTGTCTGCATTGTGCTAACCTGCTTAAGCCTCACCTATGAGAGCATCTAAACCAGTGTTTCTTAAACTTTTTAATACCAAGGAACACCAAACAATATTTTTTTTTATGAGGAACACCAAGGATTTTTTGTAGAGCAGAAAAAAAAAGTCGGGGGAGGGAGGGAAGAAGTTATTGAGAAAAAAAGTCGCCTGCCCCTTTAAGGGCAGCCATTTTGAACTCTGTTGTTCTCCGCGGCACACCAGTGTACCACGGAACACAGTTTAAGAAACACTGATCTAAACTTTACACAATGTTGTTCCTTATTGCAGCCCGCAATGGGCGAGCCATCTCAGTGATATTCTTGAGCAACCCAAACTCTCATCCAAACATCCACTGCAGCTGATCAGGAATATACAGCATAGCTATAAAACCCGCACACATCCCTAAGTAATGTACCTTAAGTGTCAGTTTAGTTAAACTCTCTTTAAAGTGTTTTCTGTTGGCTACTGTACATTTCTTACCTTTATTGAGTATAGTAAATTCCCACTGGGGAAAAATCATTTTATTTGAGGAAAGTACATTTTTTCTTTTTTGCATAAATTAACGTACAGCTTGCAAAATTGACATACAGAGAGTAGAGATGAAATAGATCCGTCAGGCTTGTAAATGAGATCTGATTTATGCTGAGAGCACATAAAATACAGACAATAGTGCTTGGCTTGCTTGCATATTGCCCCAGCCAGACATGTAGACCCTGTTCTAGAGGGATGGCTTCTATCTAGCTCCATTTCCAGGCTCACTGAATCATTGAGATCACAACAGAAACCCCCAGTTATGATCTTAGCATGTACAAAATGACCACTGGGAAGTAAACCGAGAATTTCATGTCTTCTCCACATTGCATTTAGAAGAGCCATCAACCCGCAATTACCTGGGCAAGATCAGAGGAATCAGACCCCAGATCCACCTAACCCAGCATCCTCTCTCTGCCAGTGACCAGTACCTAATGCTGCAGAAGAAAGTGCAAGAAACACCACAGTAGGTCATTTTAGGATAATCCACTCCCAAGGAAAGTTTCTTTTTAGCCCTCATCAATTACAGATTGGCATAGGCCCTTAATCACTGACGTCTAGAAGTCAATCCTAAAGCACTTTTCTGCCCCCCGAGCCACATTAAGCTTCCACATATGTAGCTTGATCAGAGGTACACAACCTTTCCGAAGTGGCATGCCAAGATTTAACCCTCCTTCCCTGAGCCGTGCATCTCTCTCAGGGTATGTCTACACTAGCTCGTTAGGGTAATGAGGGCAAGCGGAGTTGCAAATGAAGCCCAGGATTTAAATATCCCGGGCTTCAATTGCATCTTCCCGGGTGCCGCCATTTTTAAATCCCCCTTAGTCCGAACGCCGTGCCCACGGCTACCTGCGGCACGGAGTAGGTAGTTCGAATTAAAGATCTTAATTTGAACTACCTTTACTCCTCATTCCACGAGGAGCACTGGGGTGAGGAGAGGTGGGGGAGGGGCAGAGTCCTTTCCCTGCGGGGACCAGCCCTTTGCCTGCAGGCTGCACCTCTGGGGCTGGAGCAGGCAGAGCCCGGGACTGGTCAGGGCTGGCTCCAGCCCGGCCAAGTGCAGAAGGGTGCTGGGGAAGGGCTCCCTCCCCCCACACAGCCCGTGGGGAGCAGCCTGGGCCCCGGCACCCCACATGTGACCAGCAGCCAGCTCCAGCTCCGCACAGCAAGCCCCGACCCATCCCAAAGCAGGAAGCCTGTAGCCAGGAGGATGGGGTAAACCCTGCATGCCCAGGCCAGGTAGTGGTAGCCCTAGGGATGAGCCTGTGCACCTTTTCCGCCCCAGCAGGAAGCCAGAACTCTTGCTCCAGCCTGAAGCTGAATGGCTGAGCTCCCGTCCTGCGTGCCACAGGAAATCGGCTCGCGTGCTGCTTGTGGCGTGTGTGCCGGGGGTTGCCGACCCTTGAGCTCGATAAAAAGAGACTGACAGACAGAACGCTCCTAAGCTTAATAAATGCAATGCCATAGCTAGGAAGACAGAGGCTGACCCTGCAAAATGTTGCCCATATAAAACATTCTTGTTCATTTTAAAAGCTCTCGCTTTATTTCCAGGTGGAAGGACAGACTGAAGCCAAAAGCAGACCTGAGATGTGACTATAACTTTAAACTGTGGCTTTCCCCTCGTTTTAGACGTGGCGAGCTGTCCGACTTCAAGGAAGCCTGTTATTCGCCATTTCACGCTCAGATAGATATTCGAGGTCTTTGAAGATTATGCAACTAACAACAACATGAATGAAGACCTGCCGACTAGGGATGAGAAATCCCATCTCATCAGTTCACGGTTAAACGGTAGGTTAGGTTCTGGCCACGATGTATCGGGCCCAGGGCTCCATGGCCTCTGCCTCAGCAGTGGAGGCAGCAATCAAGAACTCTGGGACCTTCTGAATCACCAGGCCCCATAGCAGTTGCCTCCTTCCACCCACCAGTCCCTCATCAGCAGGGCTGTCCCTCCCCACCTCCGTCCTTACCGTCCAATTCCTCCACAGAGATATTGGCTAGCTGTTCACTGTCACTGCCAGCGGAGAGCGATCGATTCAGGTAGTTCCCCTTGTACAACAAGCCAGCCGTTACATGGTGGAATGGCATCTTCTCCCTGCACACAAAAAACAAGCAGGACTCAGTATAATACTTTGTCTGTTCTTTCTTTTCAGAGAGCAACTGGCTTTGAAAGAGCAACAGGCTTAAAACCTTCTGCATCTCAGAATGATGAACGCTCCGCAAAGCCCAGCCCATGATGGATGGATTGCAGGGTTAATTTTGTCGCTACACCCAGAGTTAAACAACACAGTCTTCCTCATTCTGGGGGAAGAGCCAGCATAGGCAGAATGCAGATGTTCTAGCAAACTAATCCTTTGCATTTACCTAGCAATGTTTAGTCTGGAGAATTTAATAGGGTGCAAAAGGCACTCTTAAAATCGCAGTGGATTGGGAGCTGAAATTTTCAACCTGTGTAAGGGATCTGAACACCCAATTGCCATTAATTTAAGTTGAACATCCAATTCCCTTAGGCAGCTTTGAACATCTGACACCTAGTCTGAGCAAATAGCGTAGCTGAAGTTGACACATTTACTGTGGTATCTCAAGTACAGTAAGGTCAGCAGGAGCTGCCCTCCCATCAACAATCATAGAATCATACAATCATAGAATAATAGGACTGGAAGGGACCTCGAGAGGTCATCGAGTCCAGCCCTCCACCCTCAAGGCAGGACCAAGCTCCGTCTACACCATCCCTGACAGATGTCTATCTAACCTGTTCTTAAATATCTCCAGAGAGGGAGATTCCACCACCTCCCTTGGCAATTTATTCCAATATTTGACCACCCTGACAGTTAGGAATTTGTTCCTAATGTCCAATCTAAGCCTCCCTTGCTGCACTTTAAGCCCATTACTCCTTGTCCTGTCCTCAGTCTTCTCCTGGTGGAATACTGGCACCAACAGGAGAGCACTCGGAGATTGATTTATCGTGTCAAAGCAGACATGATAAATTGATGTCCTGTGTATTGACCACTGCAGTTGTAACCCACACACGAAGTGTTGTTCACTGTCCAAAGCACTGGCACTCAGACCACTTACAGGGAGAGATCAGAACAGGGGAGCTCTTCAGCCAGCTGGCTTTTACCTCAAGCAGTAGAGGCTCCTACACTAAGCTCTAGTGATCCCAGGTTTAAATCTTCCCAGTGACAGTTACAAGTGGGGATTCATCCAGGATTTGAATCTGGGACCTCTGCAGCTTAGTATAGGAGCCTCTACAGCTCGAGCTATAAAGCCAACTGGCTTGCAACTTAAGCTGTAGAGCTCCCTTGTTCTTGTTTCTCACAGAGTGTGGTCTAAGTGCCTCTACATGGGACAGTGAACCACACTAGGGCTATGTCTTCACTACAGGGTTTTGCCAGCAGAGAGTATGCTAATGAAGTGCTCATTAGCATTTGTCGTGGTCATCACTAGCATATTCTGTGCCCGAGGCTTTTCGCCAAAACACAACCCATGTAGACGGGTCCGTTTTGTGCAAAAACTCCCTTTTGCACGAGATCCTTATGCCTCAAAAAAGGAGGTCTACAGATCTTGTACAAAAGGGAGGTTTTGCGCAAAATAGACCCATCTACGCTGCTTGGTTTTGCACAAAAACCTCTTGCGCAAAAAGCCTCAGGCACAGAATATGCTAATGACAGCACAACAGATGCTAATGAGCACTTCATTAGGATATTCTCTGTTGGCAAAACCCTGTAGTGTAGACATAGCCTAGGTGTGTGGGTTACAGTGTCAGTCCATGGGCATAGTGAAGACAAGCCCATAGCCAGGAAATGCTAATATCAGTGCCAAGTACCCGTCCAAACTGAAATCTCTCCCCATGCTAAAGTTTAAGATTCTCTAGCTGCAGTGGGTCTTGCTGAAGGAAGGAATTCCACCTTCATGGAGATGAACATGTTGGTCCCACTAAGGCTACATCTACACTACGAATTTTCTCAACCAAAAATATGCAAACGAGGGACTCATTTGTATGAGTCATGATCTTATTTCCATATTTTCTGCTGATCCATTTTTGTACTAGGGGTTTTGGCGCAAAAACAAGCAGCGTGGATGTTTCCTTTTTGCGCAAAAAACCCTTTCTCTGCAAGATCCTTATTCCCCAAAAAAGGAGGTATACCGATCTTGCGGGAAAAGGGGTTTTTGCGCCAAAAAAGTGTCCACACTGCCGGTTTTTGCGCAAAAACCCATAGTGCAAAAATGGACTGGCAGAAACTATGCAAATGAGATCACGACTCATCCAAAGGAGTCCCTCGTTTGCATAATTTTGGCCGAGACGTAGCCTGTATAAATGTTGCAGAAAAGTCTTCCTCAGAAAGCACCACAGGAGTCAGCTATGGAAATGCCTTTGCAATTCACCTCCAGCATAAGCAGTGACCACCATAAACTAGGGTAGGAATCGTATCCCCTCTCTTGAAGGAGAGGCTTTTCCCAGTCACAAATGGCAGTTGCATGGCAATCGTATGCAGTGATTTAGGATGGACACATTTCCCATAATCAACTGAAATTATGAAGGAAGTGTCTGCAGGCCTGGTCCACAACTGGTGTAACTCAGACTCCATCACCACCATGGCACATTTTATAGAGTAAAGGACCCACCTTCAGTGGCTACAACAGCAGAGTCAATGGAGCTGTGTTGATTCATACCAGCGAGGGGTCTGGCCCAATGTTTTCACACAAATTGAAATTTGGCCAGGACACAGAGGCCAAAATACCTGGGCCAGATCGTGAGCTGGTGTAATCCAATGTAGCTACACTGACTGCTGATTTGTAGCAGCTGGGGAATTGGTCCCTTGACTGTACACTGTAAAAGCATATTATATGGCCTCTCCTGGGCATCACCTCTAAAATCATGCAGTGGCATTGCCTCCGGGAGACAAGTGCCACCTATTGAAATGTGCCCTCAATTTCTAGCCACATTTGGGTGATAATGAAAGGGTTTATTTGGCTCTTACACCACCATATGTTCTTAGTATAGTCAATAAAACAGATGAACACACAAACACACACATCTTAATCCTCTAATGAATGATTTTCTGCCTCATTGAGTATATGAAAACTTAAATAGCCTTAAAGAGAAAACTAACATGATACACGAGTAATTCAGAATGAGAAAGAAACAAAGTTTGTTTCCCTGTCATTAATATTTTGTACATACACAGCAGTACTCTTGTAATTATGCCAACAAATCCTAATCCTTTTTTAAAAATATATTTACTTGGGAACTAGTTTCTTCAGCAGCACATGAAAAAGAAAGCCTATTTATGTTTTTAGTTAAGCATTGATGATTTCCAGCACTTACAAATTAAAGAGACCTCAAGAGTCATTGAGTCCAGCTCCCTGCCCAAACAGGACTAACCCCAACTCAATCATCCCAGCCAGGGCTTTGTCAAGCCGAGACTTAAAAACTTCTAGGGATGGAGATTTCACCACCTCCCTAGGGAACCCATCCCAGCGCTTCACCACCCTCCGAGGGAAAATAGTTTTTCCTAAAATCCAAACTAGACCTCCCCCACTGTAACTTGACACCATTGTTCCTTGTTCTGCCATCCGTCACTACTGAGAACAGCCTCTCTCCATCCTCTTTGGAACCTCCCTTCAGGAAGTTGAAGGCTGCTATCAAACCCCCCTCGCTCTTCTGGAGACTAAATAAGCCCAAATCCTTCAGCCTCTCCTCGTAGGTCATGCGCTCCAGCCCCATAATCATGTTCGTTGCCCTCTGCTGGACCCTCTCCAATGTGTTCACATCCTTTCTGTAATGGGGGGCCCTGAACTGGACTCGATACTCCAGATGTGGCCTCACCAGTGCTGAATAAAGGGGAATAATCACTTCTCTAGATCTGCTGGCAGTGCTCCTCCTAAACTCCTACCTAGCCAGTTGGTCCCCAGCTTGTAACAATACTTGAGATTTTTTCATGCCAAGCACAAGACTCTGCTCTTGTCCTTGTTGAACCTAATCAGACTTCTTTTGCCCCAATCCTCCAATGTATCTAGGTCACTCTGGACGCTATCCCTGCCCTCCAACCTATCCACCTCTTCCCATGTTAGTGTCATCCACAAACTTGCTGAAAGTGCAATCCATCCCCTCAACCAGGTCATTAATAAAGCTATTGAACGAAACCAGCCCTAGAACTGATCCTTTGGGCACTCTTCTTGAAACTGACCAGCAACCTGACATCGAGCCATTGATCACTAGCTGTTGGGCCCAACAATCTAGCCAGCTTTCTATGCACCTTATAGTCCATGTATCCAATCCATACTTACTTAACTTGCTGGCATGAATATTGTAGGAGACCGTATCAAAAGCTTTGCTAAAGTCAAGGTCTATCAAATTCTTCGACTACCCCATATCCACAGAGCCAGTTACCACATCATAGAAGCTAATCAGATTGGTCAGGGCATGACTTGCCCTTGGTGAATCCACGTTGACTATTCCTGATCACTTTCCCCTCTTCTAAGTGCTTCAAAATGGATTCCTTGAGGTTCCCCTCCAGGATTTTCCAGGAACTGAGGTGAGACTGACTGGTCTGTAGTTCCCTGGATGGTCCTTCTTCCCTTTTTTAAAGATGGGCACTACATTTGCTTTTTTCCAAAAGATCTCTCCCAATCTCCAGAGTTTTCAAAGATAATGGCCAAAGGCTCTGCACTGACATTTGCCAAGCCCCTCAGTACCTTTGGATGCATTAAATCCGGACCTACAGATTTGAGTACGTTTAGCTTTTCTAAATAGTTCTTAACCTGTTCTTTCTCCACCAACTGCTGCCCACCTCCTTCCCATACTGCGTTGCCTAGTGCAGCAGTCTGGCAGCCGACCTTGTCAGTGAAGACAGAGGCAAAGAAAGCATTGAGTACTTCAGCTTTTCCCACATCATCTGTCACTAGGTTCCCTCCCTCATCCAGTAAGGGCCCCACACCCTCTCTGATCACCCTCTTATTGCTAACATGCCTGTAGAAACCTTTCTTGTTACCCTTCACATCCCTTGCCAGCTGCAATTCCAATTGTGCTTTCGTCTTCCTGATCACTCCCCTGCATTCTCGAGTAATATATTCATACTCCTCCCTAGTCAT